TCCACCTGCGCAAGCACAAAAACAAGAAACCCATGTTAAAATAAATGAAAAAGGGGCCTCCTTACAAACGAATTGTTTTGCAGAAACAAATCGGCTGACTTGGAATTGTCATTATCGATGAAATATTGCTTAGAAAAATCTTGCACTTGGAGAATCTGAAGGTTCCAGGTGAATCAAATGTGGGATTTGAAGGAAATGAAGATAATGGTAGTTTTCGGTATGTTATGGAGAGAAAAATATGAAGCATAGCTCCAAAAAAATGGGGATTTTCTTCCGTCTCTTGAACCATTCTTGAAATGGGATTCTGAAAAAANAAAAAGGAAACAAATCAGAAAAGTGGGATTTTTCTCCTTTCTTTCTGGGAGTTCTTGGTGAAATAGGAAGCACAATGGCTTCAAAGTTGTTTTTTTCTAATTGGTGACCATTTGTGCCTATAATATCATTTAATCGAGATAGCTAGCTACAAATGGAATGACGCAGAATGTCTTGTGCGTAATGGCGTGTCTTGAATGATACGTCATTAACATAATATCATTAACCAATTGCTTTCAAATGGAACAATACTGATTGTTATATTGAAGAATACCCTATCGGATCCATATACAAATGGGTTATCTGAAGAGTAAATAAACTACGCATCAAAGGAAATGGGTGTAAAGCCTAAATTAATGGGTCGGATTAAGGAAAACCTAACCCAATGGCTGAAGATACCCACAGACTAGGATCAATAGGAAACTGGTTATGATTGGTTCGAGAAGAAGCACTTCAAAGTTTTGATTCCTCCCATTTTCTATGATGAAAATAAGTTCTACCTACCAAATATTAGTTATGATAAGTTATATTTTTAATGATGATTATATCTTGTACATAGAAGAAGTGGAGTCTTGTTGGGTACTCTTTATTAAACATCACTTATATGAGTGTAAACTTGGCCGGTTCTTTGTCAATTTTATTTAGGCAAATTCTGTAGCTTAATTACCAAACCAAGAAGGTTCAGGCCGAAATAATAAATGCAATAAAGAAACAAAATTTGAAATGAGAGATAATGTCTTCGATTTATTGTCGAGGCTTACTATAACGATTTATTGTTCAGGCTTACTATAACGGCCAACAGTTCAAAATGTTGTATTCACTTATTAACCAAGTCAATCCGATAGATTCTTACTAAGGAAAGTTCAAAGAAAAAGCTACAGATCCAAATAGATTATATTTAGTTGTACTCTTCTTTGTGATCCTTGTTTTGAGTCGACTTCTTCCATTCACGTGGGAGATTGTTTGAATTAATAGTTTAATATACTAGATTTAAATGTGTGAATTGAAAAAATTTTCAATGGGTGTGATCCTTTAAATAAGGTGTAATCTACACCACTAAATTTGAAATGGTATGTTATAATGGTTAAATTAATTAGTGTCAAAAGATGCGACCATTCGAAAAGACATATGAAAATCTATAAGTATGGCCCTCCTAATTCCATTTTGTTCGCTCCAAATCAATTACATACCATTGATTTCCAATTCATTCCTTCTCCAAATTATGTCAAAATAATGTCCGAATTATTTTTGAGTTTGTGTTCGATATTTAGTATTCTATATCTTCCACTCTAAAAGAATACTTTCAAGCGTTGGTTTGCCCCCAACAAAATTAATATTGTTCTATATTACTTTTTGGAAAAGCATTATATCTTGATAAACAGATATATATTTGATCATGTTCGCACCAGTGCATAGATTTGCATTTGCATATCTTACTTCATTTTATCTCTTTCTAATTTCTACATTTCAGTAAGTCAATATTTAGTACGTGTATCTTGATTATGGTACGTCAAAATTTTACTCTATATTTTGCATGTGTAAGTCACTATTTTGCATATTTTTCATGCACGTATTTATTTTTTTTTTAATGAAATATAATTCATATACTAATTTATCCAACATAATTAACACTCTTTAGGGCCTTAATTAGCAAGATTAAATTGATATTAATTAAATGTCACAGCTTATAACAAATGCACAGAACTTCTACCTCTCAATTACTCTAAACTTCGAGACTTAAACATAGTTCAGAAAAAATAAAAACACCTAAAAACTCCATACATTCCTCAGATTGAGTTATTTAATGCTGCATTCAGTCTGCTGAACACCACCTTCAGTGGGACGCATGCTAAGACTGGTTTGGCGAGCATGTTGACCACCAGTTTCTCCTGTTTCTCCTGTGGTTCTGGTGAACAATTAAGTGAAGACAACTTCCTGGTCTTTCTCGATGAACCATTGAGCTTCTTCCATTTTCGTGATTTCACTTGTGGGATCAGCTGCGGCGGACTGACATTCTTTGTGCGCGGCCTTCCACGTGGCCTCCTTTCAATGAACGCACCACCTTCTAGCACGTCAACAGTAAGTGGGTGGCCAACAATTGATTTAGCAGTTAACTTGCTTTTTGGAGAAATATATGGAACAGGTTGTGGTTGACAGAGCCTTTCCACCTCGATAGTAACATCATACAAGCCGGAATCAACTCTAATAAAACTCTGTTGCTTCGTACTTCGGATTACTGTAGAACGTGACTGGCGGTAGGGCATTAACCTCTTGGGAACTGCCAGCTCATCAGCCTGTCCTCGTGTGTGAGGTTCCATCGGCATAACATATGACATTTCAAACTTAACATTCGCAATTGGTCCTGGCTTTCCGAAAGAGCTCTCCAGGTTAGTACCTGACATGTACACATTGTCATGTTTATTGCGTACTTCCATTTTTCTCGAATTTGACTTCCTTCTTCCTTTTAGCTGCCACCGAGCATCAGAACCCCATCAGACAGAACCCAACTCATTGAGCTCCTCTGTCCCTGAAATTGCTGAAGAGCCTAATGTAAACAAAACAGAACATCAGTATTTGGGATCAAAAGGTATCAATATGCAAATTATATGCAAAATCCATGGAGAAAAGCCAAGTCTATAAATGAGAAAATACTTAAAAATAACTTAAGTTTTGCCATAGAATTCTTCTGGGTGGTGATTTTGAATACAAGCACTTTCAATCTTAAGTGCATGAACAATGGCATCACTTCTGTGAGCATATTTCCCAGTCTTCTTTGATGAATGAGATGCGGACTCCTTAGCTATGCATGAGTCGAACTCTCCGCAACGAAAAGCTTTTACTCTTTTTGATGCCTCGAGATTATACCAGCCCCTGAAAGAAATTTGGCAATAACTTAAATTAAATTATCTCATACTGATTGAACTCTAAGGATCTTTTAAAAAGATAAAAACTGACAGGAAAAAGAAAATAACTAATTGCTGAACAGCAAGTGCAAAATGAACCAATCCTATTAATTATTGATATACAGGGAACTGAATTTTTGTAGATAGTTCTAAATATTGCTTATCAACTTGTCCTTCAAAAGGCCAAGGGCAAGCTTCACCAGGTTTTTAAGAGAATAATTTACGCAAGTGCATACATTTAACCTTAGCCAAACATAATCTAAAAATAGACTCATCTTCTCGGGATAACAAAGCCTGTTGTATCCTTGGTACCAAATAATGTTATTTTGAAGCCCAAGCTCGAAGACCTAAAACTCGTTTCCACGTGATTTTTGAACTCATAATGTAAAAAGACACAATGACCATACTTAAACGTGAAACCACGTTCTGCACCATTAACATACCTAGCTCGTTGATTGGCAATGATACAAGGAAAATAATGATTATTAAATACGACAAAACATTAAAAAAATTATTTCCAATGATAAAACAAAAGCACTGATTGCCGAATATGACAAAATTTTACAAACATTACTCCCATGAAGAGAAACAATAATGGGGTGCAACTATTACCATGTATGAAGTTATGACATATCACATGAAGAGAATATAATAGAATAAAATTCTTGTTTTATGTAGAATAACAAATATTTGATCCTTATCATTTGTCAAATAAAGTAACCAATATTGATGTTTTAGGAATGAAGCAATAACTGAATGAGCCACCTTGCATGATTTTAAATAAAATGTAACTATTATCTCACTGCTATACTATGCATAGTAGCAGAGGATCATATGGATAACTAAATAAAAACCCTAACCTTTAAATGGGAAGAATGATTAAATTATAATCACAAAAATAACGTCATGGTATCAACATTTCTTGACAAAATGAAGGGACTAAAAGAGGCACTTACAAACTTGCATCTTCTCTCCCAAGGAGCTTTATAGGTGTCCCTGGTCTTGGCACAGGAAATGTGGTCTTGGCACAGGAAATGTAGTCTCAGCAATTCATCTGGGCTGAGAATCTGACCTGGCCACCAGTACCCATTTTGCCTTCAGACCCAAACCAAACCACCCACTGATGCATCAATGGCCTTCTTTTTGTCATGAGCAGGACGACCCATGTTTCTCAATTCTCAAAAAAAAAAAAAAAAGGGGGCGATGAAACATTATGTTAAATAGAAGTCATTGCACTCACTCAGTGAACTCCATAACAATCTCAAGCCCAACAAGAAATGCGCCCATCCTCTCTGAAAAAAAAAGGGGGGGGAAGCTTAAATGACATTGAGAAAAAACCAGATGAAGACCGAAACGAAAGGAAAGATTAAAAAGAAGTTTCAAAGTTTAAGAAAGAAGAACAAGGAAAATTGATTTTGTAATAAAAAAAAAAGAAAAAAAGGTTCTCAATTTCATTTTTTCAGGCATTCCCTTTGTGCAAAAGAGCAGTTTAACGCCTTTATTTCCTCTCAAAAAATTCAAGATAGTCTTGAAGATGTACTTCTTTAACATATATACATATAAAAAAATTAAAAAGAGAGGTTCCAGATCAAATAATCTTCTTCAGGCTGTAGAAGAAGTAAGGAAAAGGGAGAAAGAAAGCAATGTTTTTCAGCTTGTTTATTTTTCAAGATGTACATTTCTGGGTGCTGGCGTGTGAGCTAATGTTTAGAAATGTAGAGACACTGAATACTTATGAAACATACCTTTGAATTCTTTTATGCCAAAACAGATAGGAGACGAGTATGTGTATAAACTATGGAGAGAAGAGGATCTCACTCAGATTTTTATGCCGAAACAGAGATCAGAAGAAAGAGATTGTGTGTGTACACTAGATAATAGGCTTTCACTCGGATGGAGAAAGGCATAGAGTGAGAGGGATATTTATGAAATGAATGAATGACAAAAAAACAAAATAATATAGTCAGTAGTCATTACTTTTAGTACACATTATTGTATTACTGGTGATATAGTGTAAGAAACTTCAAAGTTTTTCCTTATTTGCAATTTATTCTTGCTACCAAGCATCTTTAACAATTGTGCAATAGAGTATTATTTTATTTTTGCTACCAAACATGTTCAACAAGTGTAGCAACTACAACGTAAAAAACTAGTACACTAATAGTTTTAAAATTGTCCCATGTGCATGTTGACGGGCCCCATTTTGAACAAACAATTACATGATTACACCTCGCACAGCTGAATGAAAAGCGTAAATACCCCACATGGTTTATCAAGCAGATGATTGTGATTAATGGCTGAAATTTGTTTGATTACAACAGCGGTAGAGTCGGTCCATTGAGCTATTTAGTTTTTTTTTTTTTTTATTTACCTTCTCCTTTATAAGTAGTTGGGATACTAATTGAACTTTACATTTGATTAGTTTGGTATACTGATTAAGTTTAGAGGTCTATAACCATTGACATATTAATGTATTTGAAATTTAGTTACACTTATATGATTTTCGATACAGAATCTAATTATATTTGATACTTGTATTTTAGGAATAAACAATGAGAGTACACAAATGCATTGTTAAGTATCACATTGCATGTATATTGAGAATACTAATTTTACTTTTCTCTTCGTTAGTTATATATGGTGATGAGTTGAGAGATCAGTTATCATATAGAAATTAATGGTAGTTCGATTGATACACTCACTACTTATATTTGACACTTGGTTAACCTCGTACCGTGACTGAAATAAAAAGTCAGTCATTAAGAGCTCAAATACAATTCAAAGGTTCATTTTAGGAATGAGCATAGCAAGTGATTGAATGTATTTATGTGTTGGATCCATCACCACAGTCATGTATTCTGATTGTTTAATTAGGTGAAACTATTCAATGCATCAACATGTTGATACACGTGTTAATCAACATTGAGATTCACTGCTAATACATTTGTACTTGTCCACTCATAGAAAATAGCATTGTATGTGATGAAATGGTAAAGTTCGAATCCTAACACCACTCCATTGGATCCGTACCGGCCATCTACCACTTCAAGTGGTCCAATTGGTTATGACGCATTGATACACTTATTAATCGAGATGATGATATCGATTAGATATACCTTTGAGTTGTCATGATAATTATTAAATATGGCGGAGCAACTCAAATATAATAATTGACAAATAAAAGTTAATGGATTAATAACCAGTAGTGGGCTATAACTAATTGCAAAATTTGGGCTATAATTGCTCTTAGAGAATTATATTTTTCAATGTTCTAAAAAGTATAAAAGTGTGGCGAGGCATGGAATCCAATCTTCAAACTAGGCGAGGCATAGACATCAAAAAGTGTTTTCTTATTTTTCATATTATTTTAAATTCTTAATCATTTTAAAAATTATTTAATAATTAAAATATTACACATCAAAAATCTAAAATTACAAAATACTATGTGTACTTAATAATTCCTACAATTTTCAAAATGCAAAAGCAAAATTATTTTTCCTAGCTGCAACTTTCAATTAAATAAGTCCCACTTCAAATTGAGTAATGATATTTGTCGTCACGATGATGTAATAACTCATTATTCCTCACATTTCTATCTCTTTCTCCTCCCCTCTCTCATAAAAATTGAACTTTCCAAATCCATTATACCACATAAACTGCCACATCATCGATTTTCTATCATCATAATGATAAATAACATTAATCCTTGAAATTTTATAACATGTTTTCATTTTTTACTTTTGTATTTAAAAACTTAAAACTAAATTCAAATAAAAGGCTTTTAAAAAAAAGTAAAAAATGAGAAATTAGTTGTCTTACAGACATTTGTTAAGTCTTGTACAGTGACCGAGCTGAGAAGTCGGAATTGTAAAAGCTTTGATAATAATTTAGAAGGGTAACTTAGGAATAAATACGTGTAAATAATGTATTTTTAAATATAAGATTGCATAATGATAATACTAATGGTACATTGCACTAAGTTTGATAGCTAGGTACGGCAATTGAGCAGAGAGGTCAATTACCGTGCATATACTAGTGATGTGTGTTACTTAGATTAATACGGTCATCAAGTAGAGAAATCAATTATCATGTGAGCATAATTATGTTTGATACTTGTTGAGTCTTTGATGAATTAGAGAATATTACTTCTACTAAAAGACTGCTTGTGAAAGTTATGCCATGGGGAATATTTTTCATTGTGGAGTCAATTTCGAAATGAGTGATTTGTATAATGCTTTAGGTCCCCCTCACTAAGTTAAAAAGTAAATTTTATACAACAACTTGATTACCCTTTTACAAGAAATTGTTTTATGTGACTTGGCCCAATGTTATTTTAACACTTTCGTCGAAAATCAAATAACAAAAGTTTCAGCATCTATGGCTGGTATTTGCATCAAAACTAATACTTTTCAAATTCCACGTTGACGAAAGACGATCAGAAAATTGAGATGCAAATAAACAAAACTATTGTTCAGTTAGAGAGGTAAGGGAGCCCGAAACAAATCACAACAATTTATACAACTAACAATCAA